AAAAAAAAAAAGGTTTGAGGACCCCTGCCCTAGGACCTCTTAAGTCTTGCTATCCACGTTAACCTCACTCATGTACATGCTGGCTACCTATTAAAGGTGACCACAGCCTGTCCATTTGTCAAACTGTGCTGGTTTGCATGTCACTGTGATGCTACAAGCTATGCCACCAGTACTTCAAATGCCAACATGGTCAGCCAGGGACAGGTTTCAGTGGAACTTCCACATGGACATGAACTGGGAGGGAGGGCCTAGAGCTCTTCTGAGAAGATCCTTACTTGAGGTTCTTCTATCCACTTGTCAATGACTCCTACCAAATGGTAGGGCAGAACCACGCACACAAGGTGTAGAGGGCTGTAACTCAAGGATCAATCAGAATTGCCATTCCTCTGAGTATGAGCGAGCCAGCTCAGAAAAGGGGACAGAGAGAATCCCAGGATCATCAAGGAAGAACAGGCCCCAGTGGAGCAGGTAGAAGGTCCTGGTATGGCGTGGCGGCAGCAGCAGCGCAGAGGAGTATGCCACTGAAACAATGCGACAGTGAGGCATTGTTTTCCTGGCCCAAGGAGCTAAAGGCCAAGGGACCACATGACTGAGAAGCCCAGGCCCAGGAAAATTTGGCTGCTGCTGAAGTAGAGACACTGCTGTGTATCTATGACTGTATCCTTAATGTTTTCTGATTCTGGCTTATGGCACTCTATTAATTTCCCCAATAAACCTCCGTAATGGTAAGCCTTATCTGTGAGTTCTGTATGGCCAATGCAATGGATTATCAAACCCAGCAGAGGTGTGCTATGGGAGGAATGGCTAGCAGTTATACGATGTTATAATCATCTACCACAATGAGATTTGATATGATCAACTAATCAGTTGTAAGGGAATCCCATAGAGTTACAGTCTTATAAATTTACAGGGTCAATTCTATCCTATCCTATAAGATTACTATGTGTTGGAATTAACCCACACAAAAGTAAGTTTGTTTTTTTGGTTTGTTTGCTTGTCTGAGCCCTTGCTTAGGTCATGACCCTCCCCAACCTTGCATCTTACAAGAAACAAAATGAGAGAGAAGTGAGTTGAGTGGGAGGGGCCTATACCACAAGAAAGAAAGAGGGTCTGACATCTGAACAGGAGTTCCAGAAAGGGAGAACGAGTAAATACATTAGAGGGAAGATAGGGTTCAAGACTCTGGCTTTGATAGGGCTCTAGGTCCATATAGGTGGAAAGACCAGCCCTCCTGGGTCTCTCACCTCAAAAATGCAGCAATGGCTTTCACGGCTTCAGCTGCCACCTCCAGCACTGGGCTGTTCACTGCCTCTCGCAAGGCACAGCCTGCATCTCGGCACATGGCTGAGTTTGAGAACAGCTTGATCTCCTTTGGCTGCCTGAGAAAAGGTCAATGAGGGAGAGGGTGTGAATGTCCATCGCTGGCTCCTTCACTTACTCCCTCCTCCAAGCTGGCTCTTGCAGCCCGATCCCCCTCACCTGACACCCCCCACCTCCGCCTTGCTCACCGAGTCAGGATCTCAGCAAAGAGCAGCAGGCCCTGCTTGTGCAGCTCCATGTTGTTCATCTTCAGGCTGACCTGCAGGCTCCTCACCACAGACTCAATGCCTGCCCCGGGATGACACATCAGAGCCCAGGGATCAGCGCTCTGTCTGCAGCTCCACTGTCCACCCAGGAGAGGGAAGGAGCACTGGGCAGCACATACAGGCTGGAGGCCCCTTGGGCAGGGTCTTGGCAGGGCTGAGTTGACAGGGCTAACTAACAGAGCTTTGTGAGCAGGCCCTCAATCAATTCATGTCTGCTTCTCTTATACCCAAGACAAGTGTGCTTCTCTTGCTGGTAGTCAGGTCACACCTCCACCCCTTCAGGAAGCCTTCTCTGATGCCTTGGACCAAGTGAGGGCCTTGTCCTCCCACAATCCCGGGCCTCCCTCTCACAGCCTCGAATCATCTTACATTGAAATTGCCTGTTTATATTGAAAGCTCCATAAGGGTAGAGGTCACATTATATGAATCCCCAAACCCCAGGTCTCAGCCTGGTGCCTGATGTAGAACAGGAAATTCAGAATATAAAAATCAATGGCTGAATGTGTCTAGTCAAAAGGCTATGTTGAAAAAAAGGTCTGATTTTTAAAGTCCTAGACAAGGAAGAAATCACTAAGAAAGGAAATCACTTCAAAAAACTTTGAAAAGATAATGCAGCACAATTCAGGGACTAACTCATAAATATCTGGAGTACAGGCAAGAACTGACTCCAAGCCCCCTGTAAAGCTGTTAAGATAAAATAAGAAGCATGCAGTGGTGATAGGAGTGTCTTTCCCTTGCTGAAGAGTCTACACAGAGACTTCTGCTAATCCGTGTCTGAGTCCCTGGGTGATAGAATCTGGTAATGTGCTACCTGAACATTTGGAGGTTCAAGTCCACCCAGAAATATCTTGGAAGAAAGGCCCGGTGACGCACTTCTGAAAAGTCGGAACACAATTCTCCTCTGACACACATGGAGGAGGAATTAACTCTGTAACAACTAGTTCAATCCATCAAAAGCAGAACCATTTGAATTCTAAGAGTGGTGTGTGAATATCAATACCTGCATGTGAAATGTGGTAATGAATTTGGACTGATGGAAACGACCAGACCAAGCACCCCATCTACCCACCCACCCAAGGTAGAGGCCAGTGCCCTGCCACTGCTGCTGCTCCCCAACTTTGAAACACTGCGTCTCCCCCATCCCAGAGCTCATTCACAGTGGACTCCACTACCAACCGTACACCGTGTGGCACTTGGAGAAGAAGAGCGGCTCTTCTGCCAGGAGTATCAAGCAGCTGTAGATGGACCAGATGAGCACTTCACTGGAAGAGGAAAGATGCTCAAAGAGGAACTCTGGCCAAGGAAAGAAGAAAACAACGAACAGCTGCTGTGTGCTTGGGGCTCCTTAACTGAAGCTAGGGCCCAGGCTTTATTCAACACCTCACTCCTATCCTTTCATCTGTGTACACACGCTCTCCAGGAGAGATGTGGTCACCCACCCAGAGATAAACCTGCAAATGCCCTTGGGGTTAGGCACCAATCTCTTCTTTTTAACAGAGGGGAAATGGAGACCCAAAGAGATGCACTGTTAGCGGCACTCCAGTACCCTAAATCTCAGAATGGGAGGCAGCATGATGCAGACAAAGGGGCTTATAGGGCCAGAGAGAGGCTTGAATTTAGACCTCATCTCTGCTGATGGATCTGAGCCAGTTACTTCCCTTCTCTAGGTCTTCCTTATTAGAATAGTGGCAGAGCTTAGGACCTGGGCTTGGGAACATTTGCAGTACACCGCAGGGAATCCTTCTGGGCTCAAGGCAGGCCCTTGGGCAGCATTAGTTCCCTGTGCATTCCTGATCCTCTCAGTTTTGTTCCTACTGGTGAAATAAACCACAGAGATCAGTAACAAATGGCTCAAATTATGTAAGAGTACTGCGGCAAGAGATTCTGACTTCAGGGAGCTGACTTCTTACCATCTGTCATGTCCCTCCAGTCTGGCTTATTAAAGGACCCCCAACACAGCAGTTGCTGTTGCCCCTATGAAAACAACAGGTCCTCAACCAGGGGTGCTTGAAAGAGAGAAGACCCACCTACCTGGGATGTCGGCATGGATGAAGGCCAGAGCATGCTTTGCTGGGGAGTGGACCAGCACTGCAGTTATGCAGTGGACACTGGCCACCTGCAGAGTCTCATCTCTAGACAGGAGAAGCTGGGGAAACAAGCAGGAACAAAGGGCCTGTCATACCACTGCAGGACCAGAGGGAAGCTGCAGAGAGCACCTGGAGCAGGGGCCTAACTCGGTTCTAGGCCCCTTGGGCAGACCTTGGCATCAGGTGAGGGTGGTGCTCAGGGAGAGGGGCCAGCACTATGGGAAATCACGCTGGGTAACAGCCAGTGGCAAAGAGGACGGAAGGAAACAATGTGCATTCCTCCAGTGGCACTCGAAGAACACTAAGCCCACCACCAAGAAGTGCCCCTTGATGAAGGTATGCTCACAGTCCAACCCAGTTTTGATGTTGGCAGCAACCCTGTGGCATTCCAAAGGAAAGTTCTGCTGTGATCCCATTTACAGAGTGCACAGAGATAAGAGAACGTAGCAGGTTGTTATCTTGGGAAGAGGAGCCAAGGCAGGGAAGCTGTGTTAGACAGGGTTCTCTAGAGAGATAAAACCAAATTGCTGATAATTTAATATATTTATTTATAAAGATAAGTAGATATATAACAAGGAATGAACTGTTAAATCATATACAGTTAAATATATAATACAAAAAAGAAACAGTTAAATTTAAAAAAGGCACTACAAATGGCTCAATTCAACTCACTGCCATGAGAGAGATGTGAGAGACTAGCAGTCCTTCCAGTCCAATCTGCTACCAGATCTTCCTCTATTTATAGAGAGAGCTAGGCTATGTCAGCACAGCAGCCAATCAGAAGGCAGGTCACCAACTGTCAGCCAGGTCACCAACTGCCAGTCCTCAGCTCCAGCGATTTCTTAAAGGGACCTCAACTTACAGCGACACAGTCCACAGGCACAGGACAAGAAAGGCAGCCGCACACTCGTCCGATGATCAAAGAGCGAGAGACAAGAAAGGCGAGGCTCACCAAGCCATTTATCTCTCTGTCCTTCAGTTAATCCCACTTGTGTTTATCGGCCAGGCTGGCACAATAAACTATCTCAGAAGCATATATATAAATATATGACGATGAGGTATACAGTGCTGGTACTAGGATTCTCATACACGCATGCATGAGTTTATCCCAAACAAAATGGTTTAAGTAGGTCTCTGCATTTCGTGGCTAGCCGCAGACAAGTCCTCTCAGTATTAGTCTCATTGAGACTAGACTCATCAGTTTCATTGGGATGACTTTTAAAAAAACTTTTTGTGCCACGGAAAAAAACTATTTTGAGGGTAGGACTGAAACCAAAATTTTAACAAAATTCAAGTGGATATCTTCCCAAATCCTTTAAGCTTTGCAACAAGTTTACGGGAATGCTGCCCCACATTATAAATATATTAAAAAGTCATTTTTCAATAGATCAAGCATTTTAAGGAAAGTGAGAGAAGACCATTAACCTGATGGATGAAGGAACTGTGGCTGAAGTTCAGAAACGAATGTAAGAACATAAAGTTACTATCGATGCAATGGCTGCTTAAGTTAGATTGCACATGGTCTGGTAGTTCCATTTGAAGCTGGCAGGTTCCAAAGATTTGCATGAAGATCAGCCTCTCAAAGAGCTGATCTTTCCATCAGTCTTTCAAGCAAAACTGAAGCTAATGAAGACAATTTTATGGAACAAATCATAACTGGTGACAGGCTTAGTTTTACCAATACAATTCAGAGAACCTGCAAGGTTCAGTGACTTCTGCGGGGATCTGCTGGGCCAGTTAAATTCAAGGGAAAGAGGTCAGCTCAGAAGGTTATGGTGACTAATTTGGGTGATTCCCAAGGGGTAATCTTGATATTTTTCTCAAAGGACACAGGATGATCACGGGGGCTTAAGATGAAGGAGATTTAAGAAAATGGAGAACTGCATCGGTGAGGAAAAGCAGAGGAAAGTTGCACTGAGGAATTTTTATTCAACAGCACAAAGTACTTGCTCATTCTTCAAAGGTGGCAAGGACTGTCCTACGAGAGAATTTCATTGGGAAACTCACCCCACCCACCCTACAGCCCTGATATCACCGCTTTAGACTTGGTTTTGCTCTCAAAATTCAAAGAATACTTAAAGGAACACAATTTGAATCCCTCAAGGAAGCCAAAATTGCCATTTGTTAGGTGGTGAAATCAAAGAATGTAGAATTGGGGGAGGGGATGGATAGATATGCAGAAACACTATCTTAAAAAGTGTAAAGGCAAAATCATACCCAATGTGAAATGGG